TACTGTCGCAATGAGCACATCAACGGTGCGCTAAAACTAAGATGTTTGAAGGGAACAAATTCAAAGAGACTTGAAAATGTCAAGAAAAAACAGAGAACGTAGAACTTTCATTCTAATCTCACATGTGCCATACGAATATAAAAGCAATTTAGGTTCTCATAAGTTGCGCTGTAAATCATCTGCTACGACTTCCTCAAGTTAACGAAATGTACAACAGAATTTTTTTACGCAGCTCTCAAATAACACAAAACCATGATTCACTGTCTTGTGTGCAGAAGGCACTGCAGTTGGAAAAATGTTTCCTTAAACAGTGACTTATAGCAGAAACTAGAGTGCACCATCGCTGTAACAACTTTTCTCTAGCACTAAATTTGTACAGCCAAATTGACAAATTAAAAAAACTTTTTTTTTAAAAACTAAGCTGTTTAAAACTACCAAAGAAAACTAAAATTTAGTGAGTTGCAGCTCACTTCAGAAACATTTCATCACTTGCTGCTATTGTCTTCCTAGTTTCCAGTCTAGCAATTTGGCTTTGCTCTTCAGCAGTTCTCGAACGTTTGTCTATGGTCATTACTTTATTGAAGATGTTATATTTACTCTAGGCGCGGCTAATCACCAGTAAAAATTTAAAAAGTTGAAATACGATTTTGAAAATTACAGAGTCTTACTACTTTGCAATAAAGCTTTTTTAAAGAGAGTTAAACTAAGAATCACTCTACGGTAGCTGTAGTCAAATCCCAGTAAAAATTGCATTTTTTCAGTCTGCATCTCCGATCTGTATGTTAGTGATTACGCTTGATACACTGACAATCAGTGTCATCCGTTGTCTGGAGAGTAATTGATTATGAGGATTCCCATCATCAAAGTAACAGCAAAAATAACACGACAGTAAACAAATTTGTAAATTTTTTGGCATGTGTCGCTGGTGTTTGTTCCGGTGAAGTGCGCTTTGATCTTGGAATGACAACAGTAACTCCAATCACAACAACCACATCAAGTAATTGTTAACAAATATAACTCAAAAGATGGTTTTAAAAACATTTAAAAATTTACACGTAGAATGCTTCAAAAAATCCTTTTTTTTCAGCATTTCTCGTTGTTGGAAGACACTATTCTGCACTTTTTCAGTTTTATTGCTTCTTATAAGCAGAAGAAACAGTTTTGTTCCAAAAAAACTTTTTAAAATCAAAAAAAGGAGTGAAATCCAAGATGATTACTACTCAGTGTGATTATCACTATCTAGTATCACTTTTGAAACCGATCAATTATGAAGAGGTGATAAACATTCAGTCGCCGAATGGCTTTGTTCTTCTATTTCATTTCTCAGTTTTCAATTTTTTTTTCTTTTTAATTTATGTTTTTTTGACTATAAGCGATGCATATCTATTAACATAACACTTAATCAGCACTTCGTTTTAGGCTGTTTTGATTTTGCGACTTTCGGTAAACCTACACAGTCACAATATTTATGTCAGAATAGAGCTTATGTTACCCTAACGCGAACACAGCGCCGCAAGACATGCGGTTACTGTAGTGCAGGTGGAATTAGCAGTATGCCTTTGATTGCGTTTCCCTTGACTATTCTGTTCAGGCTGCTCAACAAATGGTAGATCTAATAATTTTATATCCGTTACAAAATTCATACATGTTTATTACCACAAACTGCATTGTTCTTGCAGAATAAAAACGGCTAATCAATTAGGCCATTATTCACTTTCAGCAACAACGTGTGTTGATCAAATAAAAGCCGATAGAACCAGCGACAATCTTTCACTGAAACACCTTTTTTAAAATGTCGATTACAAAAGTTCGATGCAGCAACAGTGTCTGCGATCTTCTGGCCATTGTATCGTATAAAAATGATGTTTAAAAAAGTTATAGAGAAATAAATCTGTTTTTTTTAAAGTTTTGTAAGTTTATTAAGTCTGCTGTAGCAAACTTCAAATTTTTCGGCTATAGTCACTTTTAAAGATGTCAGAGATGCACGGTTTTATGAGAATTACTGCTTGGTCTTGTTTAGTGAGAAAGAGACTGCATTTTTTATTGCCTCTTTTGTCTTTCTGCTGCAGAATCCTCTAGATAAGAGGTTTTAGGTTTTGTAGCCCAAGTTAACTTTCTTGCCACTGCTTTTTCGTAACTAGTGGTATGCTTTAGACTGTTTGTCATCTCCTACAATACAAAAGCTACTTTTTCTCTGACGATACAGTAAAATCTGGCAATTTTAAAAACTTAATTTTTTTTTGAGCTGCAACTTATTTATTAATTTATTCATTTTGAGGTGAATATTGTATCGTTCAATGCCATAATCTTTCTACCTTTTCTCCAATACTAAAGTACCAGTAAATGTATCTTGATATAACGCCACGTTTTGTGTCTCTGCACTCACTACAAATCCACAAAGATCCTTTATTCGTTTTCTTGTTTCATTTTTTGTCAGGTTACTTGTCAGCCTGTGGTTGATTACTACTCAAGCAACAGCCAACATAAAGAAAAAATTTTGAAAAGAATGGTGGTGCTTCATTAAAAACTTTTACCAACGCACTGTTTTCAAAAATAGATAGATCTTAAATTTTCATCAAAATAAATGACGTTATCTAGTTAGGGCTCACCTGTCTAAATCTGACAACAAAACTTACGCACCCTCATCACTGAGATCTTCATTAGTATTGCAGAACAAAGAGTAAAAAACACCTCAAAAATGTTACAAATTTGGACGGTACTTCAGCGAAACTGATCAAACGATAGACACTTCTTTACTCCAAGCAAAATCATGAATTGGTTGATTAAAAGTCGACGATGCCAGGAACTGTTCTTCGTTAGAATTTTATTTCCAAAACGCAACTTATGCAGATGTAAAAATTTTTTAATTCTTCGTTTGAAGGCAAGCTTTAATCAGAAGTAAAACTTGCATTTTAAAGCTACTAAAATTACAAAGAGTAAAAGAAATAATACAAAGCGAATAACTAGACAGAAATTTCCAACGTGTAATGCAAAAAATATTTAATAAAAAGTGCCTATATTTGACGAAAGATGCTAACAAAATTTTTTTTCCCAATCTTGCACGGTTTTGGAGAGCCATATCGCAGAATTACTAAAAATTTTTTATTTTTCATTGTTTGCAAACTTACACTGCAAAAGTCCAGACAACCGAATCAACTTTAACAAAAGCACAAATATGGTTTTTCAAACCAGCACATTTAACCGTAAGGTTATTCAATTACATTTATACCAATAGAGAACTTAGACATTTTTGAAATAATTTAGTCGTTCAATCAACAGTTTTTTAACGTCTGAAAAGCACGAGTAACATCTATGATTGTTGTTTAAGATTGGAAATGATTAAGTTATTTAGGTATCTCAACAATCTGAACATTAAAAAGAATAAAAAAGTTTAAATTTTGTCAACGAGATGCTAAAAAAGTTTTATTGATTTCCGAATTTCCTTAGGAAGGTGCATGTCCCAAGCTGGTATCAAAAAAGTGGACAAAAGTGTCGAGAATAACAGGACTTGCAATCACCTGCTGCAGGCTTTTTCAAATCAAAAAAATTTGTAACAGAATTTTTTGTACAACTTTTATGTAGCAAAAGACCACAATTTATCATCATCATCTGTGTAGACACTTGAAAAACTTTTTTTTAACACCAATTTTTAAACATTAAAAAGCTACAAAAACAGCAGAAGAAGTATTTAACATTGCTATTACTAACAACTTTCTTTCATTACTTTATTTGTACATTTAATTTTATAAATTGAATTAGCTTTTTTCTCGAAACCCAAGCACCTTAAAAGTACTGGGACGTGATAGAATCCAACAAATTGTACCCCATTTGAAAAACATGTTGCCAGTTGCAGCCATCATCGTTCTGATTGCGAGCTTAGCAATCCAGCCTTGCTCTTCAGCCGCTATAGGACGTTTGTTACAGCTATGACTTCTTTTGAGTTACAGTATTTACTGTAGGCTCGGTTAATTATCAAGATAAGTGAATAAAAATGAACGACAGCTCTGTAGCTTTAATGACACTTTTTTCATTGTAGTTTAATTAAAATTCACTCCAGATCACTTGTATTTGTATCCCAGTATAAATTATATCTTCTAGCATGCACCGGGGGTCAGTGTCCTGACGGCAACGCTTGCTACACTGACGATAAGTGTTATCCTTCCTTTGGAGGTTAATATCCGATGAAAATTTCAATTTACCAAGCAAGAGGTAGACTTAAACGACAGTAAACAAAGTTGCAAATGTTTTAGTATGTATCAATGGCATGTGTCCGCTAGGTCAAACTTGTTCCATTGGAGTGTGCTTTGATCTTGAACCAACCACTACAACCACAACTCCGACCACTACAACCACATCAAGTAACTGTTAACAAATCAAACTCAAAAACCGCCTTTACGACCTCAAAAAAATAAGGTGTTAAACAGTGAAAATGCTTTAAAGAATCTTTACTTTGTTAAGATTTTTGATGTGGAAAGGTATTTATGTGTTCACTTCTCAAGTTTATTGTCTTTTACAGAGTGAGCGAATAGCTTTGTATTAAAACAATTTTTAGGAGCTTAATAGAAAAGAGTAAATTTTATTATAAGTATACAACGATTATCGTCACTTGGTAAGAACTGTGAAATACAGTTACGCAGTAGCAATAGATGAAGATAAACGTCAATATCTAGTTTTAATTTCTCATTTTGTTCGTCAACTCTTTTTCTGGAAGTGTTTGAAAATACATGAAACATTTTGCTGTGTATTCCTGTAACCGCAGACGATGCATTCGCACTCACAAAACACTAAACAAGAGTTTCATTTCAGGCTGCGTTGATCATGCAGCCGCTGGCAAACCTAGCGAGTGACCACAGTTGCAATATCTATGTTATGAAACAGGTTATGAAACCGTAATGCGAACACAGTGCCCCAAAACATGCGGTTTCTGCTCAGATGAAGGTAATAATGCATCTCTAATCATATTTTTCTTAATTAATCTGTTTAGACTTCTTGACAACTAGCGGTTTAGTCAATTTTATGTTTATCTGTTACAAAATTCGTAGACGTTTGTCACTATGACTCATCATTACTGCTACGGTACAAAACGTAAACAGCGGACAATAAATACTGCAGATGTTAACAGTACTTGAGCAAAGTCGATTGAGTAATCAGAGCATCTTTTACTTTTAGCAACAACATGCACTGATCTGGTAAAAGCCGATGGTACCAGCGACTGCTCTTCGCTTCAATATCTTTGTCAAAACGCCGCTTACAGAAGCTTAATGCAGCAGCAGTGTCCGCGGACCTGTGGCTACTGTACTGCACAGAAGCTTCTGTTTAAAGAAATTGTGAAACGAATCAAGTTCAATGTAAAAAAACTGCTTAAACTCTTTGTTAATTTAAAATTGTGGTAATCGGTGTAAGAGATGTATCGCTCAAGCTCTCTGCACTGTTGTGCTGCAGATGCAGCGCGATTCGAAGAGCTTTTTTAGCGGACTTTTGGTGATGGTCTGGGTGTAGTACACTTGAGCTTTCGCATGCGATATGGCAACTAGTGCATCACTCCGTGAGAATTTTTATATTATCGCATCTGCTACAAAGAGAGTTACATTTTTCTTTCTTTTTTTGTCCCCCTAGACGGCGGTCACTGACAGTTAGATCATATTGAAGAATAGCCCACAAGCAACAGTTTTCAGTGGAACTATAAGTAGTATAAAGAAAGACAACAATTCTTTGGTCCTACCAAAAATAACAATAGCATTACTGAATGTAAAATAACATAACTTTGCTTTCTAAAACAACAAAAGCTGATCAGAATTATAGATTTCAACAAACACTATTAAAAAGAAGTGTAAAAATTATGGTTTACAGAACTAACGCTTCATAGCCTTGAGCATACGTTCGTGATCATGAGAACTTGAAAGATTGTGAGCAGATTTCTTCAAGAATTTCTGTGAGATACAAATCTTTTACACCATAGCAAAACAGATGTCATTTAACGACTGCAAAAAAATAAAAAAGTAGAGCGAAGAAAAACGCCGGAAAAGATAAGCAGAAGTCAACTGGTTTTTGTGAATTGTCAACTCACAAGTTAGACAAACAATATCATTCTTTAATATTGGCTAAAAAGCAAAATCAAGATTTTTTTTCTTGCATTTAATTTTTGAAAAGAATAAAGAATAAACGAAAAATGCGATTTTTGACAATAAGCAAAGAAAAATTTGGACGTCTTTCAATTCTTTAAATTTTTCGCGAAAACCTTTACAGAAAAGCGTCAAGAAGTTATATGCTCAAACGTTGGCGTCAGTTGGTTTAAAGACGGTGGAAAGGTAAAAAAGCCTTAACCGCTGCTTGTAAACAGATTAAGCACTTTAATGTTTTCATTAATTTTTTGTCATCTGTTGATAAGTAAAATATAGAATTTGGTCAAGGTGACTTCTAAAATGTTTGAATGTGTCAGAAACCCTTACAGCAGGAAAATTATTTGTATTTACTTTGCCCGGCTGTCGTTCAAAAGCCTCACCACAATGGCCATTTTTTTCACTGTGCAATAAAGTTTATTAAAGTAAATAAATTATCCACTTTAAGAATCAGAAGAGTAAAAATGCTGAACATTTCTCTTGACATCAGCAAAATTACAATCATTCTCTACAGAATACCACCAAAGATGTAAAGTCTTCAAAGATTTCAAGCCTTTAGCGGTTTTCAGCAAAAAGATCAGAAAGCATGTATTTAATATCAATTTTTTTCTCACTTTTTCTACTTTTTTCTTGACATTCATGCTAAGATCATTTTTATGTTGTTCTAATACTTGTCATTTTTAATTGCTACTTTAAAAGATAAACCCCATTTGGTGTTTTAAACTCCGCTTTGTCTTATTTTAAATGCCATTTGCACGTTAAAATTTTTTTAGTTTTTCTAAAGTTTGACACTACTAATTTAGCTGTCGCGAACAGCATTTTGAATAAAAAAACATCTGCAAAGTTTTTTATAACAGCATTTAGCTTAATTCAGGTATTTTTCTTAACTAATAGCCAGATTTTATTTTATGGCTGGTTGTTCGACAGCAATAGTAGAATGCACAGTATTCCCGCTAGATCAGTCAAGTATATTTTCCACCTTCATATTCCGAAAGTTTCTTTGTTGCCTTAAGGCTTGCGAGCATGTTAATGTTTCATAGCGGCTCGATTTCATCAATCATGCAATATTATATACCAGCATGTTCGCTCGCATTTACCTTTGGAATTCACTTTTTGAATATTAGTGAGACGTTCCTATAGTTGTGTGTAATACAGCTTTCAAGAATCAGTAATTCATCATAGTTGAGCCGGTTAGTTATAAAAAGTTTAACCGCTTACAGTATGAAACAAAAAAAAACTATTGTTTTTACAAAAACTATTGTTCGTTCTGGTTTTACCGGGCTGCCGTTAGTACCTACTGCACAATTTTCTGCTAATGTTTCTTCTCTCAATCCCACTGCGGTTCCTCTTTTTGATGATAGAAGACAGATTTAATTTGCGTAATTCAACGTAACAAGCAATTTCTTGGCTTCCGAAGTCGAGTAGCATTATTACACCCTCGTGCGGATTTCAGTGACGCGTCTGTATAGTACTGTGAAGTGGCTAAAGGCTTCTGCTTATTCTATGGAGAGAAAGCTTTTCACAATTTTAGGAAGTTTTACTACGCGCGTAATTGTGCTTTTACATCTAGAACAGGGGTTTCTCCGCCTTTGACGTGAGCATTCTGTTATTGGAGTGTTTATTAAACTCACTTCAGCTTTGATCACTCTTAGCCAAAGACGGAGTTGTGTGATCATCTGTAGTGACAGCACTCTTGATGGAGCAGCTATTACTCAAGTGTCCTGTTTCCGGACAGTTGAAACAGACCTTTTGATTTTTGGTTTGCATGGCACAGTTCTTGACGTTAGCATGCTTTTCACAACTGCCTGATCAGTGCCGGTTCTTACAGAATACGTACTTGTTAATGTATTCTACCGATAATTGTTTTTCTTCTTTTAGCGGTTGAAAAGCGACTGTTGTTTTGTGCGAAAATTTATTGAGCTTGGGGTTTTAGTAGGTAGTTTTACGTGAATGATCAAATAAGCTAGGCCTTACTTTAGCTGTCTGTTTGCATGCTTAGACAACTTTCTTGATTTCTTTATAAAAATTTTCCAGGTTCTAGTCAAGCTACCCTAATTTTTTGGCGCAAATCTGGAGCAACAATGCTTTTGACAGTTTACTATCTAGAAGCGCTTTAGCAGCGTCGTTATCTTCACAAATCTCTCCTTTCTACTCTAATTATCCTGCAATTTTTTCAGTTTTGTTTCAAAGAATATTAACGTGGTGAGTATCTTTACTTGGCGTCACTGCTATTACTCCTGAAGCATTTTGCTTTTTAGCAGCAGAGAATTTTGAAGTGAAACAGCAGAACCATTTTTACCATATTATAATTGCCTGGCATGATAGAGTAGCCTGTTATTTAGAGAACACTCTTTCTCTCATACAAGACAATAGGCAATCAAACTTACCAATAACTAAAACTGCTTACTGATTGACCAAATGCGTGAAGCGAGCAAAATTAAAGCTATATCAGGAAGTCAAATGTTGCTACTTGGAGTGTTGGTATTCTTACTTGCAGAGCACGAGTCGCAGCTACCAACAGCAAGCTTGATTGCGGAGACATGTTATTCATTTGTATATGTCTCTATGGAGGTCTCAGTCCTTTCGTTAACCACTAAAAGCAATTACAGTTGCGGACTCTCACAGCACCGACAAGCTAACCGAGAGAACCAACCAAAGTTCTTCGCCAAACGTTCGGTCTTAATTAGGAAAACCTTTATACACAGTTTTTAATGCTTGCTTTACAAGAAGCAGCATGGCTGTGCTTCAATCAATCGTTAGTGTCATGATATACCACGCCAACCTTCGTAAGTAGCTTTTCTTGCTAACACTCTTTAATGGATTCATCCTTGTAGTCAGCATATTATTTCCTACTAATGTTCAACAGTAATCGCTAGAAAAATTTATTACTATTTGCTAATAAGTTTAAACAATAATCTAAATTCCTTAACAAAAGTTAAAACTTGGCTTGATAGTATCAGTGAGTAAATTTGCAGTGATGCAATTGATGATCGGTGTGACAGTGGAAATAACTGACCGTGGTCGTTGTTTGAGTCAGGGCTTTAAAAATTCTTTCCCCATCAAAATAACCAGGGTTTTCAGCTGCTTATTAGCTACGCCTTCGTTCGCAGTGCTATCCAAATTGCACAAGTCTCAAATACAATAAAATTTTATTTGAGAGTATAAGAAAGACTAATTAAAAAAAAATGCTGGTGATAGCAGATATAGAGTGTCTATCTTAACCTAATATTAAACTCTAATAAGACGAATAAGGCTTTATCAGTTTGCTAACACTGTTTATCAAATGTTCTATGTTTGTTCTTCTTCCTTTTTTTCTCAGTAACGTTACACACTAGTTGAGGGGAAGCGTTTTAAAAAACTGAATTGAACAAAATTTTGAGGGACATTTTTTAGAACTTTCTGATAAGCAATTTTTTAAAACGATTTATTGTTGTTGAAAACTTTTTTAGTCATCAAAATTTCAAAAAGATTTCAAAATCATGATAGTTTAAATCTAAGACATCTGTCTCTGAAAATTTTAAATTAATTTACCTTAAATTTATTGAGAAAGCAGTAGGCAGTACAATGCGCCTTCTTTATCTCGGAATTCCAAAAACTGCAATCTTTCTCATAGCCGATCTTACCGGTTTAGCAACAGATTGGCACTGCCTCAACAAAATCCACACTTTGGGTCAAGATAACTTCTTTTGCTACCACTTTTACAAACTACGCACGGTCAGTTAATTTTATTCACTTTATGAATAAGTGAAAAAAGCTTGCCTAAATAAGAAACTATAAGATGGAATCTGTCGCCTGTGTCTTCTTCAGACCTAATGTTAACCTGTTCAACCACTCATATTTGAAGAATACTATTTATCGTTCACTAGTTGTTTAACCGCTTCTGTCCTTGAGTAAGCTCGGTTTGTGCACAAATTGTCTTATTTTATTCTACTAATTTTTTGGTTGTTTCCTTGAGAACATTAACTGGAGAGGATAACTGACAAGTGGTTGATTAAACAAGGTCACAAAAGATAAAGAGACTTATTGTGGCTGGTAGAACGAGGTCCTAGTAGAAAAAATATTAGGCGTAATTTTGCAGTAAATTGCTGATCAAGCATTACCTCAACAAAAGCCATTTTTATCGGCGTGAGTCTAAATTTAGATTTAAGTTTTACTTAGTAATCTCAGAAACAGAGGAAATTGGGGGACTTTTTTTATTAGCATCGATTGATACTGTTTGGTAGGTTTTAAAAAGCAAAAAAGTAGGATGCTGTAAAGATTGAAAAAGAAATCAG